CATATGTTTGTATTAATTTATGTTTTATCTATCTATGTATTTATATTTTAAATGGATTCCTTTTAGATAGAATATACTAAGGTCTTGTTTTTAAGTCCAGTCTGGTCATCTCAGGCTATTTACTTTTAATGTTATTATTGATCTTGTTAGATTTAGGCCAGCCATTTTATTATTAGTTGTCTGTTTGTAACATCTGGTTTTCTTTCTTTGTTCCCTTTTCCCTGCCTTTTTTGGTATTATTTGAATGTATGTTTTGTATTCTGTTTTAATTCATTTATTGGCTTTTTGGGTTTATCTTTTTTTGAGTGTTTATCTTATTTTTAGTTATTGCTTTAGGGATTACATTATACAAATCTTTCAAAATCTGCTTTGGAACTCCTTTTACATTACCCCACTGACCTTTGTGTTACACTTATAAGTAGTATGCCATATATTGAAATGCTTTCAGCAGTTATGCAAAACTTAACTTAAAAGGAGAAAAGTGATAGTTTGTTATATTTACCCAGATATAATAATTCTTAAATTTGAAGACATAATGTCTAAAACTTCAAAAATTTGGTGAAAGACATAAATTTACAAATTTAAAAAGGTCAGCAGACTCCAAATAGGATAAGTTCAAAGAAAGCCATTTACAGATACATTGTAATCAGTCTGCTAATGACTAAAGATAAAGAACAATTCTTGAGAACACCTAAAGAAATAATGATTCAAATAATTGTGTATTTCTTCTCAGACACCACGGTGACTGGAAGACAGTGGAACACCGTCTAAAAGTACTGAAAGTAAAGAATAGTCAACCCTGAATTATGTATCTAATGAAAACAATTTCTAGGAATTACAATGATATAAAGACATTCCCAGGGAAACTAAGAGAATTTGTTGCCAGCATACCTACTCTAAAAGAAATAAAATTTCTTCAGGCTGGTGGAAATGATATAAGCAGGGTACTTGGATCTTCAGGAATGAAGGAAGAGCAGCAGAGTATATAAGAGCATCCTGTTGTCCTGGCCTCAGTGTAGGTTCTGAACTTGACCAAATTTGCTAGATTTACGTTTGGCTGATAGTTTTCCAGTTTTTAACTTGAGCTCACACTTTGGGCTCTGTTTCTTTATTCCTGCATGATATATTGCTACCCCAGGTTTATTTCCTGTCTCTTGTGTTTAAGTTAGAATCTTAGATAAAGTTTGTTTGACTCTCTTGTTTTCTAAAAATGTGCTTCCCATTAGCTGAGCTTAATAAGTATATATTTTAATTTTGTTAGAATAAAGATGCCATGTATAGTCTTATATTTGTGGCCTGTTTTAAAATGGTCATGAAAATTATGTTTATTTCACTCCACCTGAGAAGCTATTTAATTTTATTTCTCTCTCTTTCCCAAATACTTCCGTAGGATGACAAAATCGTTAATTTTCCAACTATATTATATATAGTATTTTACTCAGTATTGTAATTGGAGTAATATTATAATTAGCTCAGGTTTTTTCTAACAAATGGAAAGGCCTATATATTAAGTTACTTAGACAAAAATGTCCTTTTGTTACATTTGTTCATTTAATATATGCAGTCCTGCATGTTTAAGTCTTATTCATCACATATAGGAAATAAGAAATGTCAGCTCCTGTTTCCTCTTCCCATTCCTTAGTATTTTGACCTTTGATACTGACAGTATGTGTTCTTTTCTTTGTCAAAAGTGTTATTAATTTTAATATCTGAAAATGTATGTTATCTGTTAAAGCAGCATGTGAATACTGATCTGTTAAAAGTAAATAATCAAATTATAGAAAATTTAAATTCATAATCACATATTGTTTCCCCATTTCACAGTACAATAAGGCAATGCTGAATAAAAATGGTGGACAGTTGCAAGCCTTAGTAGTTTTTGTTTTGTTTTGTTTTGTTTTGTTTTTGCGGTACGCGGGCCTCTCACTGCTGTGGCCTCTCCTGTTGCAGAGCACAGGCTCCGGACGCACAGGCTCAGCGGCCATGGCTCACGGGCCCAGCCGCTCCACGGCATGTGGGATCTTCCCGGACCGGGGCACGAACCCGTGTCCCCTGCATCGGCAGGCAGACTCTCAACCACTGCGCCACCAGGGAAGCCCGCTTTAGTAGTTTTTGCAGCCATGTCAAAACACTGTTTTACACAGTTAATTATTTTTGAAATAATGATGAAAATAGTTTATTTTGCTTTACTCCCATGTGATTTTGATGGATTTTTCAAATTCTTTTAAGTAGGTGGCTTATAGGTGCTACAATTCAGAAGTATTGGTATAATTAAAATTTTTTTTCTACAGAAAGATTAAGCTTTTAGCATTGGCATCACCATACTTAGAGTATAATAGTCTAGAAACTTGAAAATTATCTTTGACTTTTTCCTGTTTCACCATTTTCCATTTCCAACCAAGCATACTCTCTGCTTTTCTTAAAATATCTCTGGAATTTACCTGTAAGCTCTGTCACACTGGCTTCATTCTCATCAACTGTCTACTTGTTTTCTCTGCCTATAATCTCTTTCCATTTCATTGCTTTCTGCATATTTACCATTTTCATATTTCCAAAAGAGTCCTTTCATCCTTTGAGAATCTTCAGGAAGTGTTATGTTCTCACTGTGATAAGTCCAAACTTCTCTACCCAGTATTCATTATCATCAATGTCTCCACCAAGCCCTCTGTACTGAACTTATTTTCTGCTTTTTTCCCCATTGGTATCTTTGGTACTTGTCGGGTCTCAAATAGTCCATTGTGCATGTTGTATTTATTTTTTCACTTGCATGCCTTTCCTCATTCTTTCAACCCCATCCCCATGCCTTGCTTGAAATGCTATATCCATTTTATTTTTGACCTATTCGAGTTCTCATTTCCTTCAATAAATTTTGCAAAAGCTTCTCCAACCCTTCATCTAACTCTTCTTTTCCTGAGCTCCTATCACACAATGTCTTTTATATGTGATGTGATTCTTAGTGGCAGAAACCTTGTCTCATTCTTCTCTCAGCACCTGGCTCTGTGGTGTGTAAGCTGATTCGTTGCATTTCTGTCCCATTTCACTCCCCTAATAACTATAAAGTGAGGTCAGGAAGATTTCTTGTTTCTTTTTCTTTTTATTCAGTTCTAAAACATGTTCTTCTGTCAACTCCCTCACCCCCACACGCCCCATCAGAAGCAATCTGAAATAGATAGGCAGACAGACTTGGCTAGAGGAAATACTGTGCTAATGGAGCCAAGAGTGAAATTGACCCCCATGAGTATCAGTTAGGTGAAAACAGAACAAAACTCCCATTGGGAGTCACAGACTGTTCATTGAATCCTATCTCCTGTCTTCAAATATGTATTTGTGTAGTAATGGGGAAATAAGAAAATAAAGTGTAAACTTCCTAGCACAAATCCCTTCTATATATTAGTAAAATAACTAGAAATTAATGTATTTTTGCACTTGTATTACTTTTATAAAAAATAGTTATTAAAAACGCTCCTGTTAAGAGTAAGTGTATAACAAAGACCAGCAAACTTTTTTTTGTAAATGGTGAGATACTAAATGTTTTTAGGCTTTGCAGGCCACATATGGTCTCTGTCATATGTGTGTGTGTGTGTATATATATATACATTTTTTTTTCTTATCGTTGTTGTTGGGTTTTACCACACTTAAAAATAACCAGTCTTAGCTTGAGTGCAGTACAAAAGTGGGCCATGGGCCACATTTTGCCTGTGAGCCATAGTTTGCCAAGCTGTTTGCCAATAAGAAAAGCTAATCTGTGTAACTGGACATCCATGAGGCAGAAGATTTTCTCTCCAATAGAGAAGACATTGCTCATACTAATCCAAGTCCTGAACAAACTGGAATGTGCCCAGTGGGGTGCATTCAAGTTGGGAGGATCATGAGAAACCTTAACCTGAGAGGAACAGCTTGTTGAACAGGGTCAGGTTGGAGAAGTGAGAGGTGGCATTACAGTGGTCTTCAATACGGAAGTTCCGTGATACGAGAGAAGCAGACTTGTCCTGCGCAGTGCTCCCTGTAGAGCCTCGAGTGCAGTGTGCTGTCCTGGACAGAGTAATGTCCTTCCCCTAGAGACTGGTTAGCAGAACCTCCTCTGCTCTGAATGCTTCCTGGTGGTTTTCCCTGAAAAGGACAGAATACCTTATAAAGAACTTCCCCCCTCTTTCAGAAGTGGTGATTTGGTGTATGCCATGTCTCACCATGGAATAGATTACAAATATATACAAATATATTACAAATATAGACACCAATAATGAAGGAATATTGGAGTAAATGGAAGGATTTCATTCAGGTGGGATTAAAGTAAATCTTCATAGGATTTTGGGTTTTAAAAGAGGAACCACATGGCTAGACAATATCTAAAAATATTACCTTACAATAATTTTATTATTATAATCTTAACTGTGGTGAAAATTTCAAAAGCCATCCTCATTCTTAGTCCAGAAATTTTCTACTTAGTTCACATGAACAAGGTGCACTTACTGGGATACTATAATTTATGTTTTTAAGTCTCCTACTATCTACTTAGATAGAAGGTAAAAACCACAAAAGTAGCAAGAACCAGTTACCATGAAGTGACTATAATTGTTCTTCTTTCACATTTGCGACAACTTTTGATTCATCGGGAAGCAGAAGCCATAGTAACAGACTTTTGGCTCAGATTCATCACTTTGTGTTTCTCCTTTCTCCAATGCCAGCACTTTTCCCTTTTTAAAAAAATTGTGGCAGACTAATTTAAAGACACCTACTTAAGTTGGATTATTTGCATACTGGACCTAAATCCTGCACTTCAGTATTAATGTCTATGGAAATATTTGCAGCTACTAATTTTATTTGGTTGAACTGTTACAGTGTTGATTCATTTTATTTAATTAATTCATTTAATCAGGATGCAATTTATCTTGATTTTGGTTGTAGAGGTTGGCGATTTGAAGGAGCTGCAGACACTAGACATTTCTACCAATCGTTTGCTAACTTTACCCGAGAGGCTTCACCTGTGCCTTTCTCTGCAGTACCTCACTGTGGACCGAAATCGTCTGTGGTGTGTGCCGCGCCATCTCTGCCAGCTGCCCAGCCTCAATGAGCTCTCCATGGCTGGAAACCGTCTTGCATTTTTGCCGCTTGGTAAGTAATCATGTTTATGTGGTAAAGCAAAACAGCTAAAGAACAAGATGGAAAGTCTTTGCTAGGAAGGATTAGTTAGTTTCCTTTATTCTGCTTATCTTGAAGATGCTTCTCTAAATCCATTTTTGCAGTGAACAAAGCATCATTCCCAGTTTAAAAAGTTTATTTCTGTTAGGAATTTCATATTTTAAAAAACTTGTGCTAAAAGTTTGTTTAGAGACAAAATATATGAGATATGAGATGATTTACTCAGAGAAAGGAATTAAAATATATGTATTATATATGTATATTTTGTATATATAAAATTATAAAATTGATAAGAGGTATTGAGCAATATGAAAGAATAGCTACTGTACAAATGTATCTGCTTACATGTTGACTTCTAGGTAAAAAAATTTTTATTGGGTATCCTAATGATTAGTATTGCCAGATAACCAGACTAGAAATTTTTAAAGACTTTTGAACTGCCTGCTGAGCTAGAAATGTCACCCTGGCTAATAAATAACATACTTTGCACTGTAGATCTCTGTAGCTGGCCCATTTTGATATATGTTAAAGAACATAGACCTTTAATAAACATATTTATTTTTACAGAGAATTGAATTATTTTGTTAACTTGTAAGAAACAAAACTGCCATTTAAAAAAAATTAAAATTTGAAGGCCCACAGAACCCTAAACTGTTAGAATAAGCATCATATAATCTTATTCATAAAAGCATTTTTTATGAGTAATTTATCTCTGAGGGCAATGAAGTGAATAATTTACTAGCCCCTAAAAGGAAATATTTTCTACCGTAATACAGTATACATATTATTTTCAATTAAAAACCTCTTTAAGAAAACTTGAAAATCCTGAGAGACATGAACATCAATTTGAGTAATAATAAATAATTATCCAATTTAAGAAGATTACTTTTCTATAAATATAATTAAATTCTTTTTAGAAATTAAGAAAATAAAGTAAAACTATTTCAGAAGTAACCTACCTTTCTAAGAAATCAGAGGTTTTTTTAAGTGAGAAAATTATTGAATATAAATTGGTATTAGAAAATAAATATACCTGCTGCATAAACCACAGGTTGTAGAACAGTTATAGTGGACAAGCATCAAGTTACAAATCTAAAGATACAGGTTCTAGATTAGCTCCACCACTTTGTAGAGCATTACCTGGAGTAAATCACCAAAACCTCTCTGAGCTTCATTTTCCTTGTCTGTAAACCAGAAATAACAATGTTTATCCTGCTTACTTTAGAGTTATTTTCAAGTTGAATAAAATAGCTGTTTTTTATCCACTCCAGCTGTGGTTCCTTATCCCCCTAGTCAATTGCTACTCATTCCTACCTGCTGTTTCACCAGTGACACAGTCGAGCATGTGCTGTGGTGGCAGTGGTGTTGAGAGAAGAGAGGGAAGCCATTCCAGTAGGCGGCTGACCACTGTTAACAGTTGGGGTGCCAAGGAGTGACATTGTGTGTCCTGCTGAGTGGTTACAGCAGCAGATGACCTGAGTGGCAGTGGCTAGTGCAAAGTGATAGAAATGGCTGTGGGGTAGAGGATAGAGTTCACGACACTTTGCCCGGCTGCTTTCTGCTTTCAGTTATGTACTGGGGCATCTTCTCTATGCACTGTGGTGAATGCTGCTGTGGCTACAGAAGTGGGCATCCCTTCTTCAGCACTCAGTGTTCAGTGGTAAGGACAGCCTAACAAGTTAGTTTCTATCTCCAGGTTTCTTGTCACCCACAAAGCCTTGCCTCTGTGATAGAGGAGGTTTTCCTTTGTGAACTTGTTAATATGTTATCAAAGAGAGGCAAGAGGGGGCTTCCCTGGTGGCGCAGTGGTTGAGAGACCGCCTGCTGATGCAGGGGACACGGGTTCGTGCCCCGGTCCGGGAAGATCCCACATGCCGCAGAGCGGCTAGACCCATGAGCCATGGCCGCTGAGCCTGCGTGTCCGGAACCTGTGCTCCGCAACGGGAGAGGCCACAACAGTGAGAGGCCCGCGTACCGCAAAAAAAAAAGAGAGAGGCAAGAGGGTCTTCACTGAGTTCTGAGGAGGGTCCCTCCCAACATTCAAGGTCACCGTAACTCTCAAACCTGGGACCGTGTACAGCCCAAGATATGGAAGCAGCTTCCACACTCCCCTGGGTGCCATCTCAACTCACAAGGCTCACAGCCCTGACAGGACACAGGCCTGTGGGCAGGCTTTACTCTACTTTAGAAAGACATACAAGCAAGAGGATGGTGATGAAGATCATCCAGTGAGAAAGAAACAGGCTGCCTGAAGCAATGCTCTGCCCTGGTCTCAGAGAACAGCATGAGTAAAGGGCCAGGGGGCCGAGACAAGCACTGGTGGCCTTTCTATATTGTTGGGTTGGATGATCTTTGTAAAGAAATGGGTGGGACAACTAGAGAGCTACAGTATGAGGTTGCCCAAAGAGGGCTTCAGAAGAGCAGAGACAGCATAATCTATGAAGATGAGGAAGTTGAAGCTGACAGAAATAACAATCTTCTCAGTCTCATTTTGGTTTTTGATTTTTGTTTTTGACACCATTGAAGGTGGATTTGGAAAGGGAATTCAATTAAGTCTTTAGGAAGAAAATAAGTCCATAGCTGTCCTTCCATGGAGTTTGTGTACTTGAAACCCTTCCTTTAACTCCTTTCTGATACAGCAAAGCCATCTAATGCTAAGAACTATGCAGGACAGAGTCAAATGAAGCAGGCAGCTGCTGGCACTGCCTTTCCTCAGAGAACTGAACTGTTCCTGGAAACTTAGCATATAGGGATGCCTCTTTACAGTAGTTAGGAGATACGGTGTGTATACACATACACATAACTACAGTTTTCAAATAGAAGGCTCCTATGTTTAACTGTGATTCTAATGTAGAACTTGAGTGTTTATGAAATGGGTGCTTTAATATCACTGCCTGTGATTGGAGGTAGGAGTCTTATTTTGGGGAGCTACTCGCTGAATTCAGTTTCTTGCCAAAGAACTTTGACTTAGGAGAAAAGCAGTTTTTTATGGGGCTTTTTAAAGGAATGTCAGATTACAGCCTCTTCAAAAAGTGACTACAGAAGCTATAGTAAGGATGACTTAAATCACTTGTAATACTATCAAAATCATTAACACTCGTGGAGGGTGTTCTTTTTAAGAAGAAAAGTTGTATCAAGAAAGAAGGATGTTCCTGCTATAACTATACCATGACAGCTGAATGACAGATTAGTCTACACACAGAAACTCTGTTCCCACTGCTGTCAGTGAGGAGGTGGGGAAATTAATAACTTGAGCCTCATGCTATGAGACTTAATAGAGGCCTTGAAACATGAATATTTGTTGTTGATTCAATATAGCTCTGTTGACTAAATAGCTCATAAAGATCTGACTCACCTCTGGGCTTCTGAAAATTTAGGAAAATACAAAGAAAAGGGTTTTTTCCTGTAAGGCTTTTTTACTAGGTTTACTGGTTTCTCTTGCATAATTAATAAACCATTATTCAGTAATGTTTACAACTTATTTAATGTTGAATAATAGATACAAGTACTGTGAGGTTGCCCATGTACAGACTGACTATGGAAGAGCATTTTTTAGTTAGCCCCCAGGAAGTGCTGTGTCAGCTAAACTCAATGTCAGGAACTTCTGTAGTTTAAGAAAACAAAAGTTGCGCCCACGGTGGCAGGTGGAATTTTTGAGTGCTAATTTAGAAAACAGTGAATGAATTCTTAGCTAAGAACAAATGACATTGAGATTTATGGAGTATCCTGGTGTGTAAACTACCATGTAGTAAACCCCAAAGTTAGTGAGAAAACAGCTTCCTACCAGTGGATAATTATTTGTGTTTCTAAATCAGTCCCAGGGTTGTTCCTTGGACATTCTAGTAGTGAAGTATTTATTTTCTCAGGAGAAGTTATTCTGTGTGCCAAGGACGTGTGCTATGAGTGAAATGACAGCTCCTTTATTGCTGTGGGTTATACCCTATAACTTTGATAGGGATGTAAAACTGGCCCTTTATCACATAACAGGAGATCACTCCAATTTTTTGTAGTAGCTGTAGTCATTTTTCCTTTGTAGGAGCTGGATACATTGTGTAGGGGGAAAAAAAAAAGTTTATTCCAAGTATTGGTGCAGTTTTCTTTAGAAAGTAGCTTGTAGGCATTTTCAAAACCCATGCTGAAATCTCTTCTTTTGTTGCAAATGGCATATAAAAGACACAAATTTTTAACTACACTTGTTTTTTCTATTACTTCTCATTCCTGCTTTCTTTGTATCTGCTTAGAAGGTCAGGAAAAGAATTGCTGTTTACTGTTTTTCAAGGAAATACTTAAGTCCACAAAGTGAAGCTATTAGAACTTCAACTCCAGGATGGAAACCAGATGGAAACCAATTAATAATTCCTTAATCTCAGACTTAGAGATGCATGTAAACTGTACTCTACTGAACCATGGAGTGTATTTGATCTGCAGCTTGAAGAAGTACTGCCTTGAGGTCATTGTTTAATGGGAATAGTTTGCAAAGTTTGTAGCCTTAAATACGTTTCAGTGCTAAAATATTTCTTCTGGCTCAGACCAGAAGTCCCAGAGGTTGGAATCAGTCTTATTTTTGAGTAGAAGGTATCTTGGCTTTCCAAGGAGGGACCCAAACATGCCATTAAAATCGTGTTCTGTAGAGACTGTTGGGCAGGTCTCTAATCAAAGGCATAATGAAAAAGGAGAAAAGAAAGGCTTGAAAACAAGGTCCAAAAACCAGTAGTGGGAAGAAATGAGAGAGAAGTATTCTGTTAACTAAAGTTTATATGACCCTATTTCAGGGGCAAAGTTGTAACTCTGCAATGTATATTTGTTCAAGAAAATGGATGTGCAGTCCTCCTTTTTGAGCTCTATCTTTTTGCAAGTATTTATAAAAAAGAATTTTCATCCTGGTGCTGCTTACTCATCTGACTTTTTCCACTGTCTTAATGATCCCCTCTGCTTTATTTTTTTATCATAGCAGGCCTTTACTCTTGCCTTAA